TCTTTCATCAGTGTCTTATAGTTTTCTGAGTACACATCTTTTACCTCCTGAGGTAGGTTTATTCCTAGGTATTTTATTCTTTTTGTTGAAATGGTGAATGGGAGTGTTTCCTTCATTTCTCTTTCTGATCTTTCATTGTTGGTGTATAGGAATGTAAGAGATTTCTGTGCATTGATTTTGTATCCTGCTACTTTACCAAATTCATATATTAGCTCTAGTAGTTTTCTGGTAGAGTCTTTAGGATTCTTTATGTATGGTATCATGTCATCTGCAAACAGTGACAGTTTTACTTCTTCTTTTCAAATTTGTATTCCTTTTGTTTCTTTTTCTTCTCTGATTGCCATGGCTAGGACTTCCAAAACTATGTTGAATAATAGTGGTGAGAGTGGACATACTTGTCTTGTTCCTGATCTTAGAGGGAATGCTTTTAGTTTTTCACCATTGAGAATGATGTTTGCTGTGGGTTTGTCATATATGGCCTTTATTATGTTGAGGTTGGTTCCCTCTTTGCCCACTTTCTGGAGAGTTTTATCCTAAATGGTGTTGAATTTTGTCAAAATCTTTTTCTGCATCTATTGAGATGATCATATGGTTTTTCTCCTTCAATTTGTTAATATGGTGTATCACATTGATTGATTTGCATATATTGAAGAAACCTCTCATCCCTGGGATAAATCCCACTTGATCATGGTGAATGATCCTTTTAATGTACTGTTGGATTCTGTTTGCTAGTATTTTGCTGAGGATTTTTGCATCTATGTTCATCAGTGATATTGGTCTGTAATTTTCTCTTTTTGTAGTATCTTTGTCTGCTTTTGGTATCATGGTGGTGGTGGCCTCATTAGAAGGACTTTGGGAGTGTTCCTTCCTCTGCAAATTTTTGGAAGAGTTTGAGAAGGATAGGTGTTAGCTCTTTTCTGAATATTTGATAGAATTCACCTGTGAAGCCATCTGGTCCTGGACTTCTGTTTGTTGGAATATTTTTAACCACAGTTTCAATTTCATTACTTGCGAGTGGTCTGTTTGTATTTTCTATTTCTCCCTGGTTCAGTATTGGAAGGTTATACCTTTCTAAGAATTTGTCCACTTCATCCAGGTTGTCTATCTTTATTGGCACAGAGTTGCTTGTAGTAGTCTCTTATGATGCATTGTATTTCTGCAGTGTCCGTTGTAACTTCTCCTTTTTCATTTCTAATTTTATTGATATGAGTCCTCTCCCTCTTTTTCTTGATGAGTCTGGGTAAAGGTTTATCAATTTTGTTTATCTTCTCAAAGAACCAGCTTTTAATTTTATTGATTGCTATTGTTTTCTTTGTTTCTGTTTCACTTATTTCTGCTCTGATCTTTATGATTTTTTCCCTTCTACTAACTTTGGGTTTTTTTTGTTCTTCTTTCTTTAGTTCCTTTAGGTGTAAGTTTAGATGGTTTATTTGAGATTTTTCTTGTTTCTTGAGGTAGGCTTGTATTGCTATAAACTTCCCTCTTAGAACTGCTTTTTCTGCATCCCATAGGTTTTGGATCATCATGTTTTCATTGCAATTTGTCTCTAGGTATTTTCTGATTTCCTCTTTGATTTCTTCAGTGATATCTTGGTTATTTGGTAACGTATTGTTTAGCCTCCATGTATTTGTGTTTTTTATGTTTTTTTTCCCTGTAATTGATTTCTAATCTCATAGTGTTGTGGTCAGAAAAGAAGCTTGATATGATTTCAATTTTCTTAAATTTACCAAGGCTTGATTTCTGACCCAAGATGTGATCTATCCTGGAGAATGTTCTGTGTGCACTTGAGAAGAAAGTGTAATCTGCTGTTTTTGAATGGAATGTCCTATAAATATCAATTAAATCTATCTGGTCTATTGTGTCATTTAAAGCTTGTGTTTCCTTATTAATTTTCTGTCTGGATGATCTGTCCATTGGTGTAAGTGAGGTGTTAAAATCCCCTACTATTACTGTGTTACTGTCAATTTCCTGTTTTATAGCTGTTAGCAGTTGCTTCATGTATTGAGATGTTCCTATGTTGGGTGCATATATATGTATAATTGTTATATCTTCTTCTTGGATTGATCCCTTGATCATTATGTAGTGTTGTTCCTTGTCTCTTGTAACATTCTTTATTTTAAAGTCTATTTTATCTCATATGTGTATTGCTACTCCAGCTTTCTTTTGATTTTCATTTGCATGGAATATGTTTTTCCATCCCCTCACTTTCATTCTCTATGTGTCCCTAGGTTTGATGTGGGTCTCTTGTAGACAGCATATATATGGGTCTTGGTTTTTTTTGTTTTTAAAATTTATTTATTTAATTTATTTATTTTTGGCTGCATTGGGTCTTTGTTGCTGCGTGCAGGCTTTCTCTAGTTGTGGCGCACGGGGGCTACTCTTCTTTGCTGTGCATGGTTTTCTCATTGCGGTGGCTTCTCTTGTTGCAGAGCACGGGCTCTAGGCACACGGGCTTCAGTAGTTGTGATACTTGGGCTCTAGAGCACAGGCTCAGTAGTTGTGGCACATGGGCTTAATTGCTCTGTGGCATGTGGGATCTTCCTGGACTAGGGCTCGAACCTGTGTCCCCTCCATTGCCAGGCGGATTCTTAACCACTGCGTCACCAGGAAGCCATGGGTCTTATTTTTGTATCCATTCAGTGAGCCTGTGTCTTTTGGTTGGAGCATTTATTCCATTCACGTTTAAGGTAATTATCGATATGTATGCTCCCATTACCATTTTCTTAATTGTTATGGGTTTGTTTTTGTAGGTCCTTTTCTTCTCTTGTGTTTCTCACTTAGAGAAGTTCCTTTAGCGTTTGTTGTAGAGCTGGTTTGGTTGTGCTAAATTCTCTTAGCTTTTGCTTGTCTGTAAAACTTTTGATTTCTCTGTCGAATCTGAATGAGATCCTTGCGGGGTAGAGTAATGTTACTTGTAGGTTCTTCCCTTTCATCAGTTTAAATATATCATGCTACTCGCTTCTGGCTTGTAGAGTTTCTGTTGAGAAATCAGCTGTTGACCTTATGGGAGTTTCCTTGTATGTTATTTGTCATTTTTCCCTTGTTGCTTTCAATAATTTTTCTTTGTCTTTAATTTTTGTCAATTTGATTACTGTTTGTCTTGGTGTATTTCTCCTTCAGTTTATCCTACCTGGGACTCTCTGCACTTCCTGGACTTGGGTGGCTATTTCCTTTTATATGTTAGGGAAGTTTTCGACTGTAATTTCTTCAGATATTTTCTCGGGTCCTTTCTCTGTTTCTTCTCCTTCTGGGACCCCTATAATGCGAATGTTGTTGTGTTTAATGTTGTCCCAGAGGTCTTTTAGGCTGTCTTCATTTCTTTTCATTCTTTTTTCTGTATTCTGTTCCTTGGCAGTGAATTCCACCATTCTGTCTTCCAGGTCATTTATCCGTTCTTCTGCCTCAGTTATTCTGCTATTGATTCCTTCTAGTGTATTTTTCATTTCAGTTATTGTATTGTTTATCTCTTTTTGTTTGTTCTTTAATTCTTCTAGGTGTTTGTTCTTTAATTCTTCTACGTCTTTGTTAGACATTTCTTGCATCTTCTCGATCTTTGCCTCCATTCTTTTTCCAAGGTCCTGGATCATCTTCATTATCATTATTCTGAATTCTTCTTCTGGAAAGTTGTCTATCTCCACTTTATTGTTTTTCTGGGGTTTTATCTTATTCTTTCATGTTGTACAAAGCCCTCTGCCTTTTCATTTTGTCTGTCTTTCTGTGAATGTGGTTTTCCTTCCACAGGCTGCAGAATTGTGGTTCTTGCTTCTGCTGTCTGCCCTCTTACCATCTTGTTTTCTTTCCTGATTTTGATGGAATATTAATTCTCCACCAGGTCCTTAAGAAAGCGTGTTTCGAAGCTAAATTTTTGGAGACTTTGTCTCTGTTAAAAAATGTCTAAATTCTATTGTAACCATTGATTATCTGGGTATAGCATTCAAAATTGAAGGGTAATCACTTAAAATTTTTTTCTTATTTTTCAAAACAGAAACTACATGCTCATGAACCTAAATTTTAAAGGTTCAAGAGATTATAGAGAAAGTGTGTCTAACATGAGGGTGGTTTTTGGTATGATGCAACTGTTCTGTATCTGATTATAATGGTGATTACACCAATTTCTACATGTCTTAAAATCCACAGAACTGCACACCAAAAGAAACAAGTTCAATTTGTATGTATGATAGTTTAAAAAATGAAAAGTAAATTAAGAGAATTTAAAAGTACAAAAAGTTAGAGAGGGTTTCCCGCATGGCACAGTGGTTAAGAACCTGCCTGCCAATGTCGGGGACACGGGTTCGAGCCCTGGTCCGGGAAGATCCCACATACTGCGGAGCAACTAAGCCCACGCACCACAGCTACTGAGCCTGCACTCGAGCCACAACTACTGAAGCCCGCGTGCCTAGAGCCCGTGCTCCGCAACAAGAGAAGCCACGGCAATGAGAAGCCCACGCACCGCAATGCTGCAACTGGTGAAAAGCCCACATGCAGCTACGAAGACCCTGCACGGCCAAAAACACAAACAAACAAACAAACAAATAAATAAATTAATTAATTAATTAAAAGGTAGAGAGCAAAAAGAAGTTTCTTTCTTTCTCTCTCCCTTAGCCTTCCAGCTTTAAACATCTAAACGTTCAGGGGCAAATCAGGCAGAATTGAAAGGAACTTGACATATATTCACTACTATGTATAAAATAGATAACTGATGAGAACCTACTGTATAGCGCAGGGAATAGTACTCAATGTTCTGTGGTGACCTAAATGGGAAGGAAATGCAGAAAACAGGGGATATGTGTATACCTATAGCTGATTTACTTTAATGTACAGCAGAAACTAGCACAACATTGTAAAGCAGCTATACACAAGTTAAAAATTAAAAAAGGAAAAAGGAACTTGGAACTGCGCAAGTACTTTTGGAGAATGCTAAGATTACTACTCTTAGAATAGTTTGAAATATGTTATTAATCAAACCTGGCGCTAATTTATTAAAATTATTTCTCCTACAGTTGGCAAACATGAATTGACTGGGCATAAAGTTGCTGTGAAGATACTCAATCGACAGAAGATTCGAAGCCTTGATGTAGTAGGAAAAATCCGCAGAGAAATTCAGAACCTCAAGCTTTTCAGGCATCCTCATATAATTAAACTGTAAGATCTCATTATATTAAATATAGTCATATCATTTTTTCATCATTTTTGTTAACCTTAATCTGACAAGTGAGAAAGATGAGTGACATTGCTTTGGTCTGTTCCTGAGGGTTTTCAAATTTCTTCCTGTTCATGTATTTATCTAACCCCATTCATGGTCACTTAAGCCTAAGTTCACATTTTGCCCTTGTGATGATCAGATGTTATCTTTCTCGTTTTTGGGACTGATGCCATTCTGATAGATAACTTTCAGTGCCCCTATTGCTGTAGAACCAACGATGATTTGCTAGTAAAAACTCCTGCCCTCCAAATTTCCACATGATATCAGCTAGCCTCACTAGAGACAATAAAGTAGGGTCTCCACTCCCCCACACTGCTTATATCTGATAAAACAAGTAACAAATAATTCAGGAATCTAAATCCAAATCCAAATAATAGAATTTCAGGAATCCAAATTTCAAAAGGCAGTAATATTACCATTGTTTTACAGGTGACAATTGTAGGATCTACAGTTAACTTATTTACTACTCAGCTTTATTATGCAGGCTATAAATTAAAACCATTTAGGCTTTTGTATTGAACCAGTGACTCAAAATTTGTTTCACTCTCACCTCTTCTCATTTGTTGAGGTGCCATGGTTTTAAATACCATCCTTATGCTGACAGCCCTTAATATACATCTCCTGCTTTGAAACCTGTTCCCTGAATATGCACACTGCCTATTTTACATCTCCATTTGGGTGGCCATGAGGCATGTGAAACTCGATCTGGCCCAAACTGAACCCTTTATTACCCTCCCATTCCTGGTCTTCCTGGTCTTTTCACCATCTCAGTTAATATCAGTTCCTCAGGGCAGAAACTTAGGAACTATCCTTAACTTTCCTATTTCTCTCACTTCCCAACCTCTATTCCATCTCTTCCTTCATTATCTAGTTCCTTCACTATCATCAACCCAGTGTCGGCCCCCTTCACCTTTCTCATGGACTACTGCAGTAGCCACCTGTTTCCACCCTACTGCCCAGTCAGTTCTTCACATTGCTGCCATCAATTAAAGTTACCCTTTTACTTGGCCAGATCATGTGACTGCTTTGCTTAAAACCTTCAATAGCTTTCTTTCTCCCATAGAGTAAAAGCCAAAGCCTTATCATGGCTTTTAAGGTTCTGTGTCCTCTGCTGTCCAGTAACCTCTTTGACCCCACATCCTGTTTCTCTCTCCCAGCTCACTCTGCTCTAGCCTTCCTACCATTGCTCAAATGCGCCAGGCAGGTTTCCCCCTGGGGGCCTTTGCACTTGCTGTTCCCTCTGCCTGGTTCACCTTCTTCCTAGATAATGGCATAGTTTGTTCCCTAATTTCCATTAGGCTCTGCTTAAATGTTACTTAATCAGAGAGGCCTTCCTTGAATACCCTGTATGAAAGATTTCCCTTAGTTTTGCTTTGATTCTCTTCATAGCATGTTCCACCACCTGAGATACTGTTTTTTATTTAGTGTCTGTTTCTTGGCTTCTGGAAAATAAACTCCATGAGAGCAGAGAATCTGTTTTGTTCCCTGCAATTTTCCCAGCGTCTAGCACAGTGCCTGGTATATTATAGGTGCTTAGTAAACACTTATTGAATGAATGATATACATGTTTTAATACTGGTAGATACTGTTTTCTCTCACCAGGTACCAGGTCATCAGTACACCATCTGATATTTTCATGGTGATGGAATATGTCTCAGGAGGAGAGCTATTTGATTATATCTGTAAAAACGGAAGGGTAAGCAGTTCTGATTTAATCCTGTGTATATTTTGTAATTCCCCTGATCCCTTACTATCATCAAAATATCAGAAAGCAATTCTGTTAAGAGGTCTATTTAATAACCAGCTCCCTTGGTCATGTATTTGCCTAGAATCATAGACTATTTAGAGCTAAGAAGCATCTTAAAGATTATCTCCTTAGCCTACTTACACAGATATGGAAACCAAGAGTCACAGTTTATTTATTTATTTTTTTAAAAATTAATTTAATTTATTTATTTACTTTTGGCTGCATTGGGTCTTCATTGCTGCACGTGGGCTTTCTCTAGTTGGAGCGAACGGGGGCTACCCTTCGTTGCGGTGCATGGGCTTCTCATTGCGGTGGCTCCTCTTGTTGCAGAGCATGGGTTCTAGGTGCGTGGGCTTCTGTAGTTGTGACACGCAGGCTTACTAGTTGTGGCTCGTGGGCTCTAGAGCACAGGCTCAGTAGTTGTGGTGCACGGGCTTAGTTGCTCCATGGCATGTGGGATCTTCCTGGACCAGGGATTGAACCCATGTCCCCTGCATTGGCAGGTGGATTCTTAACCACTGCTCCACCAGGGAAGTCCCTCATAGTTTATTTATTTTTATTTATTTACTTTTTATATTTTGGTCATACTCTGTGGCATGTGGGATCTTAGTTCCCTGACCAGGGATCGAACCTGTGCCCGCTGCATTGGAAGCGCAGAGTCTTAACCACTGGACCACCAGGGAAGTCTGAGACTCACAGTTTATATATATGCTCAAGGTCACATAATTTATTAATGACAGAATTGGATTGAGACTCCGGAACTCACGATCTTCAGACTTTGCTTCTGGGGCATACAAATACTTTTAATATATATCTTAAATTATGTATGTAATCCTTAAAAAATATATTATTAAATACTTAAAGATCTAGGCCTTGCTAGTCAACCCTAGTCACATTTAAATTGCATTCATTTTTTGGTTTCAGAAATCTGATGTACCTGGAATAGTAAGAACAGGCTCCATGAAGGAGGTAGGAATTAGACTTAAAGAATTTAGAGTTGGAAGGAACTTTAGAAGACATTTTGAACAGTGTCTTAAGTTACAGATACAAAAACTGAACATTTCCCCCTGCGCATACTTTTTCTTACACCCAGAGTATGTGGTATACAAAAACCTCTTTCTGGAAGAGCCACATCAAGCACTGAGAAGCCAATTTTTTTCCCTCCCAATCTAACATTCTTTATATCATTCACTCATTTGTTCTATGTAGCATATCTTTACTTTCATCAAAATCATTAACCAAATTAATTTTGATTTTACCATTTCTTAACATGGTTCATTTCAATTTCAGGTATTCCACTTGTCTTTTCACTCCCCACTCCCTGCCCCCACAATCCCGCACAAATATTCTGCCTAGAAAAATGGAAACAGACACAAATTGAATTGGCATCTTGTTTTCTTATCTTTTGTTTTTCATGTCTTAATCATTTTGCTTTACATTATGGGAATTTTCCTCAATTTTATCTGTTGCATATTAAAATTCCAGCTGTTTTTTTTTTTTTTTTGCGGTACGTGGGCCCCTCACTGTTGTGGCCTCTCCCGTTGCGGAGCACAGGCTCCGGACGCGCAGGCTCAGCGGCCATGGCTCACGGGCCCAGCCGCTCCGCGGCATGTGGGATCTTCCCGGACCGGGGCACGAACCCGTGTCCCCTGCATCGTCAGGCGGACTCTCAACCACTGCGCCACCAGGGAAGCCAGTTGTCTTTCTTTAAATAGCCTATTTTTGTTGTTGTTGTTCCACTGAGATAATAAATGTATCTGTCTGAGGATGACAATTAGTTTAAAAATTTTTTCTTCTTTTCTTCCCTGGATTGCTTCTGTACCTTCTCTGCTCCCTGTTTTTTTTCTATTCATTTTATTGGTCTTTGTCTTTTGTGCAAGACCCTTGCTCAGATACCTAGTGATTCTGGGTTGTCCACTCATATTTGAGAGTGAGATTCTAAATGCCAAGCTCATGAGGATGGAACTTGTTAATTGGTGGGCCTTCCCATAGGTTGAATAGGTACGGACCTGTTTGTTTTACTAGGAAACACCAAATGTTAACAATTACAAATATTTTTCCTTGGATCAGAAAGTTGCTCCAGAAGAAACCTTCCAGTTTCCTTGAGCATGTTAGCCTAGCTGCCAGTGCTCTGCGAGCTAAATGGGGAAAGGCCCGCAAGCCTCACTGGTTAGTATGTTGACTTTCATTTTATCCCCATGTTTTCCTTCTGGTGCCTCATTCCTACTCTGGTGTCCTTGAGAACAGAGCTGGTTCAGCCTTATTAAAGAGTAAATCGTGGGTCTTATTCCCCAGTAAGGGTGAGCTTAAAACTTCTTTCTTCCATCAGTTGTCCTGTTTTCAGTCCACTTCTCACTTCTACCTTCAGAAATTCCCAACACTTCCAATATCTAAGCCTTTCCAGGAGTCTGCGTGCAGATGAGTTTATCATTGATTTCCACCCCTAAAGGCTTACTAGATTTCACCTTTCTGTGGTTGGCCAAGTCTTCATCACTGTTCATCTACTCTCTAGCTTAGTGACTCCTTGATTACTGCTGTCTGTTCTCTTGCTCTTTTGTCTTTATATGCTGTCATCTTAGTGATGTTTCAAGGAGTGGAGACAAAAGGTTCCATCTGCCATGCTTAAATGGAAATATGCTTTGACTTTTCTAATCTTTCTTTGTAGACTTCTCCTCCTTGATCCTTTGTACTCTATTTATTATTAATAGAGTATAATTTTCATTTTTGTAGCCTATCTAGTTATTTTATCTCTTGTATTTTGCTTAATCAATTAAATTTTCTTCTCTTTCACATTTAGAACACATTCTTTTTTTCATTTAGTGTATTTGATATGAAGTCGTATTAAAAAAATGAACCTATATTGTAGAAATAAAGGTATTAGATTGCTAATGCAATATTACTTTCTCTAGAGGAAGGGTATCTCTGAGTGCTTTGATAGTTTTAGTTTTGCTTTCAAAAGAAATTACTGGTTCATATTCCAGATTATCCATACCATTAAAGGTGTAGGAACCTGGTTTTAGAATGCTAATTTGTGACCTGTGGTAGAGAATTGCATATTAGAGTCCTTTGCCTAGAGAATTAATAGCTTATTTATTAAATATGACTTCTTGGGAGCAGGCATACCCAAGTAATGGCTTTCATTTATGGAAAAAACATCATAAAATAATAAAATATAGATAAATGGACAGAGAAGTTTTTAAAGAATATTTTTTAAAATGTAATTACAGCATAAGATTTAATTTTTCAGTAAGCATAGTAAAGATAAATGCTGTTATATTTTATAAAACAAATGAATTAAGGTTTTTCTTTTGTTAAAATTAAAACATCTTTTATTTCAGGAGATATGATAACATGGTTGCTTGCTAATTCATTAACACTGCTTAAATGTTGCTTTCTCATATAGTCCACAACAGTATTCCCCACCCCAGCATAACTCTTTGTGCCCTTATCCTCCTTTGTTTTTCTTCAAAACACTCTTACTCCTTATATTGATATTTATATGTTTATTGTCTATTTTCTTTAACTAGATTAGGGCCTTTTTTTAATTCATTGCTGTATCTTGAGTGTCTAAAACCGTGCCTGGCACATTGAAGGTGTTCAATAAATATTTGTTAAAGGAATCAAAGATTAAATATTTGTAATTTACAGGAGAAAACATGCCTACTTTCAGGTAGAAATTGAAATTATTTGAAACAGTGCATGAGATTAGGTGAAACAAGTTATTATAGTCAAGAGAGTGATAATATTAGGAAGTTGAGTTACTGATTTGGGTTCTAAGACCCTCCTAGCATTTCCGTTTTATGCTGCCTATATCTCCTCCCCGTTTCAGAAGTATCTCATGAGTGAGGTTCATTTGGAAGGTTTCTTGCATTTTCACAGTTTTATAGGTTGGAAAATTATAGGTAGAGTAATTTCTTTTGAAAGACACACATTTAAGTTGCCTCTACTTTTCTTAGCTGGATGAAAAAGAAAGTCGGCGTCTGTTCCAACAAATCCTTTCTGGTGTGGATTATTGTCACAGGCATATGGTGGTCCACAGAGATTTGAAACCTGAAAATGTCCTGCTTGATGCACACATGAATGCAAAGATTGCTGATTTTGGTAAGGATATTTTTATAGTTTCATATATTCATTATGTTTAACAAACATCAGTAGGATTCTTCAGATAACTTTTGCTTTTATATAATAGACTGAGTATCCCAAAGTAGCATATCCTCACCATTTGTCTATGAGCTACAAAAAGGAGTAAAAATAAGGAATTCTCTTAGCTTTATGTCTTTAAAATTGACTTTTATGACATAAGCAAACAATTTAAATTGGCAGCATTAGCGACATCACTTGAAAAGAGACCATTATTTGTGAAGGACCATTATTTAACTATTTGCTAAATAGTGTTATCAGTAGAACACACTGTTTCCAGTGTGTTCTTCTGATCAAGTATGGAGCAAGAGGAAAGAGACTGGGCTGGAGTTATTCAAACTTTGAAAGCCAGAAGGCAAACCATATGAACAAAATTATTTTTAAAAAAAGAAAGTAAAATATTTTAAATAGAAAAGCATAGTTTCAGCTTGAGGAAAATTTAATGAATTTATTTTTCCTTTATTTCTTATATAAATTGCCATTGACGTTATTAAACCTGAGATAAAAATGAATATCTACAAGTCTCTTTTTCTAGTTTCATTTCAAATCAGTGGAGATACTTATATTTTCTTAAGTTTTATATATGTTTATATATTTTAATCTATAGAGATTCACTGAATAGTGCCCAACAGCTCTGAGCTACTGAGTTTTGTTTTTTTTTTTGTAACTGACTAAATTATTTGACTTTCTTATTCTTTAGTTGTCATTATTTTTTATACATTGTATTTTTGAGGAGGCAGAGTTTTCTTTTTTTCTTTTTTTTTGGCCGCATTGCGCAGATTGCGGGATCTTAGTTCCCCCACCAGGGATTGAACCCGGGCCACAGCAGTGAAAGCACCGAGTCCTAACCACTGGACCACCAGGGAATTCCCGAGTTTTCTTTTTGTAGTACAACTATGAAGGAACTTTGATATTAAAAATTATTATTATTATTAATTTTATTTTTATTTTTATTTATATATATTTTTTTGCGTTACGTGGGCCTCTCACTGTTGTGGCCTCTCCCGTTGCAGAGCACAGGCTCCGGACACGCAGGCTCAGCGGCCATGCTCACGGGCCTAGCCTCTCCACGGCATGTGGGATCTTCCTGGACTGGGGCACGAACCCGTGTCCCCTGCATCGGCAGGCGGACTCTCAACCACTGCGCCACCAGGGAAGCCCTATTATTTTTTTTTAAAGAATCAGAATGGAGGTTAATAAAAACTTTGAATTTTAATTCGGTTCTACATTTTTTTCTAGTAATTTCTATATTAATAAAACTTAAACATGCCCAGTTTATTCTATTAAGCAAAATAACCAATAGCTTAATATGTACTCATTAAACTCCAACAATGCACTAACTTTATATGTTGAAACAGATTACAGATTTTATGGCATAAAGGCAAAATATTTGGGAATAATAAAGACTATAGGATTCTGTTGAAGCAAAGAACAAAATGATGATTTATCACTTTAATGCAAACTCAATTTTATTGTTTAATGGAGTTTTGTTTTTATTTTTGTTCTTGGGAAATCTTGAGCAGTGGATTTTGTGCATTTTCAGGTCTTTCAAACATGATGTCAGATGGTGAATTTTTAAGAACAAGTTGTGGCTCACCCAACTATGCTGCACCAGAAGTAATTTCAGGAAGGTAGTGTTTGCCACCTCCTCCCCGCCCAATATATTTGTAATTGTCTTCTTTTCCTAGACTTTGTTAGTCTGTAGTGTAATATTCAATTCTATTGAAAGGAATTTAAAGCTTATTTTTTTCTTATCCAGAAGGTATTCTATTTTAAGAATAAAACATTATAAGTGAATAAGGATTAAGGACTCCATTTATCGAGGAGGATGTTGGTTTGCAAGTCAAAATTATATTAGTTAGATGAGAGTACTCTCGTTTTTTCCCCTGGTGGAAGAAACTGAAGGTTTAAAACTAGCAAGTTTTAAAGGTGAGACATTAAAAACTTGAATAATACAGAAATATCTAGTAGTAAGAAATAGTGTACTATTTGCTTAGATGAAGAATTAAAAGTGTAATGGGTAGCTTTAATTTTTCAAATTAGCTTTAGCTTTTACGATAATGTGCCTTGGGGAATTGGACTGAAGTATTGATAAAGTCCTCAGATTTTATTTAATTTTCACTCTTTAAATCTTCTAGAGACTGAAATATTTTAAGAATTCTAATCTCTCAGTTTACTAACCACCAGCATTGAGAACATGAGGATCTTAGTATAGGGCAGCTCTTCGGATAGTTTAGATGACAGGAAAATTTAATTTTTTGAAGAGTAACTGTTTTTCACTATACTACTGAAATTGAAAACAAAGAAGCTAAAGTTTGTTTACTAGTTTTTATAATTAACTTTTAATAACTTTTCATTCAAACCATGTTTCTTTGTGTGAATGTCTTACATCCTAATTTAGAATGCAGAAATAGAGTAGTATTTTCTTTCTATTTTCATAAGCTTCTTGTCTAGACTGCTCAGAGAAATTATATTTGTGTTAAGGCATGGTTATGAGTAAGGCAGAAATATCTAATTTTAGATTTATCAAGGTTCATCATTACCTTTTTATATTAACTTAATGTTTAAATTATTATTTCATGTGGGTTGTCTAATTATTTGGGGAAGAAAACAATTTAGGACCTGGATACTGGGGGCAGTGTTAATTAAATAAACAAAAAGAAATGTAATTGTGCATATATGTAATGGGCCATTACTGAAGTCTAATTTTCCCAGTTTGGATAAGGTCTTTCTGTGAGGTCTAGATGTATGGAAACTTTTACTTTCAAAATAGTATATATTGATCAGTTCAATAATTTATTTGACCAATTTAAAGAAATCCTTTCCCTGAAGCCAGACTTTGAATGGGTTATCTAATTAGTCAGTAGCTAGTTAAGTCAGTGGGTTAGAGTATATTGCAAATAAGAGTTTAAAATCTTCTGCGAATTAGTTAGCTGGGCTTCATTCTACAGCCTCAGGCCCCTTTTACCTTGGTACGAGGTCTCGGGTTATTTCGGAGAGTGGCTTTAGAGTCCATCACTAAAGAACATTCTCACTTGATGAAAGATCACTTAATCTCTCCTCTGTAACCAAAAAACAATGGTTTTAAATTCAGTGATGATATGTTTGTTCAAAGTTTGGCCCTATTGATTGGATATCATGAGGACCCTTGTGAGGTAGTATGGAGAGAATTTTAGCTATAGTTTGTAACTTAAAAAAATTCTTAATTTTTGTTTTCAAAATACTGATAGAATTAGTATAGAATCTGTACGTGTAGTACACAGCAGTGACTTATAGAAACCATATTCTGACTAATAATTCTTTATGAAGTATCTATATTTAAAATGATTAATTGATTTACTCTTCAAGTTACTAATGATTGTTTAATCCAATTGATATTTCCTGTTACAGATTGTATGCTGGTCCAGAGGTAGATATATGGAGCAGTGGGGTTATTCTCTATGCTTTATTATGTGGAACACTTCCATTCGATGATGATCACGTGCCAACTCTTTTTAAGAAGATATGTGATGGGATCTTTTATACCCCTCAGTATTTAAACCCTTCTGTGATTAGCCTTTTGAAACATATGCTGCAGGTGGATCCCATGAAGAGAGCCACAATCAAAGATATCAGGTGATAAAGCAACTTGATTATCAGATCTAATAGTATCAGTGATATAAGTGAAAGAAAATTTTGCAGAACAGTATGTACAATGTAATCCTGTTTTTATGTTAAAAATAGTGTATAGACTCATTTATTTTATTTTGATATTTAAGAACACATACTAACCTGGCTGCTTTAGGGAAGTAAGATTGGTAGGAGGAAGGGCCTTCACTTTTTTGCTTTTGTTTCTTTATTTGTTTTGAAATTGTAGCAGTGAACATTATATTACTTTTTTTTTTATTCCATACATCTACAAAGTTGCTTTAATGAAATTCCGAATACAATATTTTTTATTAAAGTAAATGTGTATACTGTAACTAAAATAGAGGGGAATTCACTCTTAGCTAAGTATTGTAATAATATACTTGGGGTTCAGTAAGGAAAATACAATCTCTTCTAGGCATTTCAAACAGGATATCTGATCAGAAAAATAGGTGCTTACAAAATAAGGTGGAGGAGTTAAAGTCAGAAGTGGGGGAAGGGTGCTTTGATCTGTCAGTTTTGTCACTCCTCACTAGTTCTTAGGACACTAGTAAGTTACTTTTTTTTTTTTACTTTTTTAAAAATTCAAACAGAAAGTCACAAAAATTATAATCATCCTCATCAGTTCACTCAGTCCCATGTAATTACTTTTTTTTTATCTTGATCTTTTGTTAGCACTTTTATGAATTCATCAGTTTTCCATTAGAGTTCTGAAAATGCTTATTCATTCAGTTCAGCAGTATAGTCAGTTACCAGAAACCTGTACTTGTCAGTGTATTACCATTTGTTTTTTTTTTTTTTTTTTTCCGGTACGCAGGCCTCTCACTGTTGTGGCCTCTCCCGTTGCGGAGCACAGGCTCCGGACGCGCAGCCTCAGCGGCCATGGCTCACGGGCCCAGCCGCTCTGCGGCATGTGGGACCTTCCCAGACCGGGGCACGAACCCGTGTCCCCTGCATCGGCAGGCAGACTCTCAACCACTGCACCACCTGGGAAGCCCAGTGTATTACTTTTTAATTTAAAAAAAGAGCTAATAAAAAATAAAAAGGACCCTGGTTGGATATTAGGTTTGGTAGTGATTCTTTAAGATTTTCTATAGTATGCTTCATGTTTGACGTTTACATATTCTCATGGGGACTAATATTTTTTCGTAGTAAATTTCTGTGTTGCTATTTGAGTTCTGATCTTATAAATTATTGTATTTTTCCCTTTTGTTCATCTCAGGGAATGAGAACATTTTAATTCAATCAATGACATGTTTGTTTTTGTAGTAGTATATATTGAATTACATATGAAATTACTGTTTTGTAGGTAAAAAAGTCCATCAATTTTGCCAGTTGCATATGGTTCCACAGAATAGTTTAAATAAGGCAAAAGTGATGATGACAAATCTCCTTCTTAAATTTGGGCAGCTCATTTCTGATGAAGATTTTTTAAAAAACTGCAAACATTGTTTCTTCTACCATCATTTTTCTTTCCTTTTTTTCCCTTATGGAAATTTCTCTTTTGGTCTTCTAACGGCTAGACAGCACACTTCTCTGAGATGGAGGGCGAAGGAAGAAAGAAATCAGATGTATATCGGGGAATAGTAAAGAAGAAAGCATTAGGATAATGAAGAAGAAAGAAAGATCACATGTAGAACTTAAAGCTTGATTCCTAAAATAGATAACTAATAAGGACCTACTGTATAGCACAGGGAACTCTATTCAATACTCTGTAATGACTTATATGGGAAAAGAATCTAAAAACGTGGATATATGTATATGTATAACTGGATTCACTGTGCTGTACGGCAGAAAGTAACACAACATTGTAAATCAACTATATTCCAGTTAAACAAAGAAGAAAAGAATAAAGCTTCATTCCTTTCCATTTACTCCATATGCTGCAGACTAGCTAAAAAACAGACTGTGAGTGGCAGGGCATGACTTTCCCACTAGAGGAGAAGGACTAGTCATTCTTTAAAATTTATATTTCAGAATATCTTAGTGAGAGGTGCTTTTTCTTGTGTTTTACATGTTTTTTCCAATTTAAATGAAATCTGTGACAATTGGAAAAGACTTAAAAAACACCAAAAAAATTAGAGAAGAGAATTAAAGTGATTTTTAATTCCATTACCCAGAATAGAATCATTGTTCTTTTGGGTGTTTTCCTCTTAATGTTTTTAGTTTTAGCGTATTTTTTTTTACATAGTTCAAGTCAAAAATATCCTTTTATATATGAAGTAAGGAAATCCTCAGTTCCTTCATTAAAATAAGGGGATATTATCTTCACAGAGTTGTTTGAAAATGAGGTGAGATAATATATATGAAGTGTTTAGCCTAAAATCTACCACATAGTAAGCACTCAGTGAATAATAGTTGTCTATTTTTGTTGTTGTTATATATTTTGTCACTTAACATTATATCAAAAGAGTATTATAATGAATCCACAGACTAATTTTGTTCTCTTTCTGAGCTGGAAATAACATGGTCTTTGCCATTGCCATTTGTTCCAAAACTTTAAAGTGTAGACACTTTGTTTCTGGTTGTTCCAGCAGTGTTTTCTCCCTCTTAAAATCAGAGGAAGGCTGGAGAATTTCCCTTAACATATACAATGAAATGTGAGCCAGAAGAGGAAAATCTCAGTTTTAAAAAAATGATAGGGCTTCCCTGGTGGCGCAGTGGTTGAGAGTCCGCCTGCCGATGCAGGGGACATGGGTTCGTGCCCCAGTCTGGGAGGATCCCGCATGCCATGGGGTGGCTGGGCCCGTGAGCCATGGCCACTGAGCCTGCGCGTCCGGAGCCTGTACTCCGCAACGGGAGAGGCCACAACAGTGAGAGGCCCGCGTACCGCAAAAAAAAGAAAAAAAAAATACAGTATGAGTATAAATATAAATGAATTCATATCCTAAATTCCCCCAAACTGTTACTTTCAGTCTCATCCCTCCTCGAAGTCCTTCTGACCCCTGCCATTTTCTCTCAGGGAACATGAATGGTTTAAACAGGACCTTCCAAAATATCTCTTTCCTGAGGATCCATCATATAGTTCAACCATGATTGATGATGAAGCCTTAAAAGAAGTATGTGAAAAATTTGAATGCTCAGAAGAGGAGGTTCTCAGCTGCCTTTATAACAGAAATCACCAGGACCCTTTGGCAGTTGCCTACCACCTCATAATAGACAACAGGAGAATAATGAATGAGGCCAAAGATTTTTACTTGGCAACAAGCCCACCTGATTCTTTTCTCGATGATCACCACTTGACCCGGCCCCATCCTGAAAGAGTACCATTCTTGGTTGCTGAAACACCAAGGGCACGCCATACCCTCGATGAATTAAATCCACAGAAATCCAAACACCAAGGTGTAAGGAAAGCAAAATGGCATTTGGGAATTAGAAGTCAAAGTCGACCAAATGATATCATGGCAGAAGTTTGTAGAGCAATTAAACAACTGGATTATGAATGGAAGGTAAGAAAGAAAGAGCATTCTGATTATTAGCACATTTGACAAACCTGTAGTCTATATAATGTTTTATAGAAGAATTCCTTTTGACTTTGTTTTTCTCCATACCATATGCTAGGTTGTAAACCCGTATTATTTGCGTGTTCGAAGGAAGAATCCTGTGACAAGTACATTCTCCAAAATGAGTCTACAGTTATACCAAGTGGACAGTAGAACATACTTATTGGATTTCCGTAGTATTGATGGTATGTACATCACACAGAACAACATAGATGATATATTAGACCTTTTTACCTAATTTGGCATTTTAGTAAATCTTTGATTCTTTTGAAGCTTCTTGAATTTTTCCTAGTAATTCAATAGCAAAAGAACATAGAATATAAGATTTTGTGCCTTTGTTGATGTGAACATTTGTGTATCTTGTGAATAGTTTATTGTCCTTTTATCTTCTAAAATCCTTAAAGCCTGATACAGCCTGATCCTAAAGTGATAGTTGCTGCTACATTTCTGTGTTTTGTAGTTCATTTTGGTAAGATAAAATATTTTATTTAGAATAAATGTTGACTTCTAGTAAATGGTGCAAAATCATACCATGGTTTGAAATGTACATTAATTCAGATCTCTCATGCATATACACTTTTTTTTTTTTTTTTTTTTGCGGTACACGGGCCTCTCACTGCTGTGGCCTCTCCCATTGTGGAGCACAGGCTCCGGACGCGCAGGCTCAGCAGCCATGGCCCACAGACCTAGCCGCTCCGTGGCATGTGGGATCTTCCTGGACAGGGGCACGAACCCGTGCCCCCTGCATTGGCAGGTGGACTCTCAACCACTGCGCCACCAGGGAAGCCCCGACTCTTAAAACTAATTTACCTTATCTACTAAAAAGCCTGATGGAACACATTTGACTCATAATTCAAATAAATATCAATAATAATTCTACCCCAGCATTATGAAAGGCTATAGCTGTGTGTATATATATATATACATACATATATATATATATATATATATGTTCTCTCACAAACAGAACCTTTTTTTAAAAAATAATTAATTATTTTTGGCTGCATTGGGTCTTCGTTGCTGCGCGTGGGCTTTCTCTAGCTGCAGCAAGCAGGGGCTACTCTTCATTGTGGTGCGTGGGATTCTCACTGCGGTGGCTTCTCTTGCTGCGGAGCACGGGCTCTAGGAGTGCCAGCTTCAGTAGTTGTGGCACATGGGCTCAGTAGTTGTGGCTCATGGGCTCTAGACAGCAGGCTCAGTAGTTGTGGCGCACAGGCTTAGTTGCTCTGCAGCATGTGGGATCTTCCAGACCAGGGCCTGAACCTGTGTCCCCTGCATTGGCAGGTGGGTTCTCAACCACTGCGCCACCAGGAAAGCCCCCCAGAACCTTTAATTAAGTAGAAGTTTATGGCAATTCTTCATTGGCCAAATCAATTGAATTAAGATGTGTTGCCACTTTTGTTCATTTAAGATTATATGGAATTATTAGATGAGATTTACCTGTGAATTTTTTGTCTTCTTTGTAAACTCAAAGATAGTACCTACATAGTATCAGAAAGACACAGTTTTGAGCTATGATATGTTGGCTAAACCTGTTTGTCTATGTCTAGATGGTATTTTTCTTCTAACACTTACTAACGCAGTCTGAGATACAGAATGGGTTTTATTTTTTTCCATTGTATTTGAATTAAATTCATGAACCTTGGGGCTTCCCTGGTGGCGCAGCGGTTC